CTCCAGTGAAGAGGAAGAAAGCTGTCCTGTCAGACAGTGAAGATGAGGAGGAGACTTGTCCTGTCAGACAGTGAAGATGAGGAGGAGAAACCTGATAAACCAGGTAACGGATGGATTTGTTTCTCTTTGTGATGCAGACTGAATGTTTTCTGATTTTGGCTTTAGTTCAGTTTAGTTTAATTTTTAGTTTAGTTTTGTTTAGTTTAGTTTAGTTTAGTTTTTAGTTTAGTTTAATTAAAGGTTATTTATCATTATTTAAGGTTCATTAAAACAAACAATCAGAGTTTTATTTTGTCTTCCTGTTTGATGTTCTGAGTTTAAGACGTCTCGTCTTGTTCGTCCCCAGCAGCGAAGAGGAGCCGGGCCGTGTCCGATGATGACGAGAACTCAGACAGCGACGAAGGCTTCGGGGGTCCGGATAAAAGCCTGGCGGCCAAACTGAAGGAGCTGGGCTCGGACAGCGGGAGTGATGAAGATGACGGAGCCAGGGCCGCGGCGGGGAAAAAAGACGAGAAGGCGTTGTTCGGCAGCGACAGCGAGTCTGGAGACGAGGAGGAGTGAGTTCAGGATTTGTTCACACAAATTAAAACCAGAACTTTGACTYGTTCAAATCAGAGCAGGTCAAAGTTTGGTTCTCATGCAGAGGAGTGAGGTGAGGGCTGAGAGCKGCCAACAGATGACTTCCAGCAGGAGACTGCAACAATGAGACAGTTTGATGAGTTCAGATGGAGCCTGCAGAGGCCTGAACCTGTCTGGTCTTTGTTGCAGGAAAATGATCGCAGACATCTTTGGAGAGTCTGGAGACGAGGAGGAGTTCACGGTGAGTCTTCTCTTCTGCGTTCACACTGAAGCCGGATACACACCGGACTCATTTTGAGCAGCTGAACATGCAACATCTGTGGTGGACGCATGTCTAGGGGCAGCGCAGCGCATTTAGCCCATTTAACACAGAGCACAAGGTAACAGTAGGTGCAGCAGAGCATTTCCTGTGCGTGTGGAGCGTCCAAATAACTGAAGTTAGAAAATCTGAACTTTTGCTGCTCGACGCACCGCGTCAGCCAATCAGAGAGACYCATTTTTCCACGTGACAGTTTCCTGATGGCTGCCCACCAACATGAAACAGACGGACAGCAGCTCTGCTCGCCTCCATCATCTGGTGAATTAATCATCTGGTGAATTAATCATCTGGTGAATTAATCATCTGGTGAATTAATCATCTGGTGAATTAATCATCTGGTGAATTAATCATCTGGTGAATTAATCATCTGGTGAATTAATCATCTGGTGAATTAATCATCTGGTGAATTAATCATCTGGTGAATTAATCATCTGGTGAGCGCAACGTTCACTTGCTCTCAGTAAATAAAATAAAACCAGTTTCTTTATTGTATCTTTATTTCATCACCATTAAAGACAGACTGGAAAAAACCAAGACTCTCCTCCCTCTTCAGACTGGTGTCTCGTCTCTGTCCCAGTCTGAACATAGTGCGTCCAGCTGGAGGTGTTGGGCACGGTTTAGATGCTCAAAACGCATTCGGTGCCAACCTGGTTTGATCTGTCAACTCCTCTCTAACACCTCCTCCTCTTCCTGCAGGGATTCAACCAGGAGGACCTGGAGGCAGACAACAAGGAGGTGAAGGAGAAGCAGCAGGTGGAGGAGGAGTCAGACTCTGATGAAGGAGTGGACCGCAGCGGGCAGGAGTATGTGCTCTGATCAGGTGTTCTGCTGCTGTTAGTCCAGCTGTGTGTTAACTGTGTGTGTGTGTGTGTGTGTGTGTGTGTG